ACTATAGTCTGGCCCTCCAATGGTCTGAGGGACAGTGAACTGGCCCCCTGTTTAAAAAGTTTGAGGACCCCTGCTCCAGAGTATAGCCTTCACGAATAGCAACAGAGAGACCTATCAAAGGAATACTAAGCTGTCAGGTGAGGAGAGACCCTCAAATGACACCGTGGAACAAATATCACTTAGACACTGAAATCCATGAGTTTGGAAGCAAGCAAGGTGCCCAGAAACAAAGAATACAAAGAGATTAGCGGGTGAACTCACCCTGAAGCTGCACTGAAGCTAAGATTTCAGTGCCTGAGTCAGGGACTGAATTGAGGTCAGAGACCTATTTAAGGCGGGGAGTTGAGCCTGAGAAATCAGCGGTAAAGGGTTACCTGGTTTACTGCACCAAGAATGACACAATCAAGAGGACTGGTGTTGCATTCATCTTCAAAAAGGACAGTTCACCATCTATCTTGCAGGACAATGCTGTGTCTGATAGGGTACCATTTATCTTCGTACAAGGAAGGCCGATCAATACAACTATCACTGAAATGTGTGCACCAACCACTAAAGCTAGTGATGAATTCTGACTGTCTTCAGCCTGAAATTGATAAAACATGCTATTAAGATGCCTTGATAATTATTGGCCATTGAAATGCAATAGTTGTGAACATAGAGGAAGGAACAGTCACTGGAAATTGATAGAAACGAAGGTGGACAATGAAGAAACCAAATATCAGCCGCTAAACCCAGGCCAGGCCAGGGGCTGACTGTGGAACAGACCATCAATTGCTCCTATGTAAGTTTAGGCTGAAGCTGAAGAAATTCCAAACAAGTCCACAAGAGCCAAATTACAACCCTGAGTCTATCTATCCCACCTGAATTTTGACAGATTTGATGCACTAATAACAGAAGACCTGATGGGCTCTGGGATGCCATTAAGAATATCATACATGAAAAAAATCAAAAGGTCTGTAAAAAAACAGGAAAGAAAGAAAAAAAATCAAAGTGGCTGTCAGAAGAAATTTGCTCTTGATCATGGAGTAGCTAAGGCAAGTGGAAGAAATGATGAAGTAAAAAAGCTGAACAGAACATTTCAAAAGGCAGCCAGATACAAAGTAAAATATTATAATGAGATTTGCAAGGACCTAGAGTTAAAAAACCAAAAAGGAGGAACATTCTCAGCAAATCTTAAACTGAAAGAACTCAAGAAAACATTCAAGCCTCAGGTTGCAATATTGACAGATTCTATGGAAAAAATATTTTACAATGCAGGAAGCATTCAAAAGAAGATGGAAGGAATACATAGAGTAACTGTCCCAAAAGGACCTGTTGCCTTCAAGAGGTAGCATATGAACAAGAACCAGTGGTACTGAAGCAACAAGTCCAAACTGCCAAAAACATGGCTCCAGGAATTGATGGGATACCAATTGAAATGTTTCAACAAGCTGATGAAGCCCTCACTCATCTATGCCAAGAAATTCGGAAGACAGCTACTTGGCCAACTAACTGGAAGAGATCCATATTTGAACTTATTCTAAAGAAAGATGACCCAACAGAATGTAGAAGGTATTGAACAATATCATTGATATCACATGGAGGTAAAATTTTACCGAAGATCATTCAGCAACAGTTGCACCACTACAGTGTTAGGGAGCTGCCAGAACTTAAGCTGGATTAAGCTTAAACTGAAGACATGGCACCAGGGATGTTATTGCTGATGTCAAGTGGATCATGGCTGGAAGCAGAGAATACCAGAAAGATTTACTTGTGCTTTGCGGCATAATGGTTACCCGTTGGGCTGAGATCTGCAAGGTCAGTGGTTTGATACCACCAGAAACTCCTCAGGAGAAATATGGAGTTTTACACTCCGATTAACAGTTACAGTTTTGGAAACTCAAAAGGGGCAGTTCTACCTTGCCCTCTAGGGTGTCCCAATGAGGTGGCATCAACTCAGTGGCAGTGAGTTGAATTATTGGCTATGGAAAGGCATTCAACTATGTGGCTCATAACAAATTATGGATAGCATTGAGAAGAATGGGAATCCCAGAACACTTCATTGTGCCCATGGGGAACCTGTGCATGGATCAAGAAGCAGTTGTTGGAACACAGCAGAAAATGCTGTTGTGTAAAATCAGGAGAGGTGTGCATGTTGGAACACAACAAGGGAATAGTGTGTGCATTAAAATCAGGAAAAGTGTGCATGGCAGCTGCATCCTTTCACCAGATTTATTCAATCTGTATGCTGAGCCAAGAATCTGAGAAGCTAGGTTATATACATAAGAACATGGTCTCAGGAATGGAGGGAGCCTTCTTTACAATCGTTATATGCATATGACACCTTTGCTTGCTGAAAGTGAGGAAGACCTGAAGCACTTGTTAATGAAGATTGAGGACTGCGGCCTTCAGTGTGGATCACAGTTCAACGTAAAGAAAATCCAAATCCTCACAATCAGACCACTAGGTAACATCATGATAAATGGAGAACAAGGATGGAAGACTTTATCTCCTGACCTTTGGCCATGTTACCGGGAGAGACTACCCCCTGGAAAAGGAATGTAGAAGGTAATGTAGAAGGTTAGTGAAAAGTGGGGAGACCCTCAATGACATGGTTTGACACAAAGGTCTCAAATGCAGCAACAATTGGGACGATGGTGCGGGATGGGCAGGGCTTCGTTCTGTGGTAAGTCGGTAGAGTCAGAGCCAGCTCCATGCACCTAACAAGAACATATTCCTGTAAAAGCTGGACAGTGAAGGAAGAAAATGGAATAAGAATGGAATCGATGTATCTGAATCATGAGGCTGTCGAAGAATATTGAAATGCCATAGGCTGCCAGAGGGACCAACAAATCTATCATGGAAGAGGTACCGCGTGTTTCTTCGAAGAAAGGATAGTGAGACTTCATCTTCCGTGCTTTAGACACGTTGTCAGGGGAGACCAGTCTCTGGAGAAGGACATCATGCTTGGGAAAGTAGAGGGGCAGGGAAAGAGGAAGACTGTGGAGGAGATGGACTGACACAGCGGCGGCGGCCACAACGGGATCAAACATAACAACTGTGAGGATGGCACAGCACCGGGCCAGGCTTCATTTAATGGCTGACAGGGTGCCCGTGAGGTGGAACAGACAAAATGATACCGAATGTCAACACCAGCAACAGATGGAAAAAA